TTCTTCTTCTTCTTCTTCTTCTTCTTCTTCTTCTTCTTCTTCTTCTTCTTCTTTTTGGAAACTGCATTCCACTTTATATACAACACTGAAACAGCGCGGAGCAAAATATGCAGCAGCTCGTGAGTACAAAATTAAAACACTCCATGCGGAAGAAGTGCGGGGTCCTCATCGCAGTTAATTCAGATCTAAGTCTTATCTCCAGCTTCTAGAAATGAATTTTTCACACAGCGCGGTTCCCTTTGCAGTGGTCTTTGAACCGACCCCTAACTGTGTCTACTAGGATTATACAACGTTAAAAACAAATGGGGGTTAGCTCCGTGTAGACACACATTCTAATCACTGGACAACGCATGAAGAAGTGCTGTTTGGGGGTATAAATTCTTTATTCAAGCACTTTTTTGCAATGATATTTTCTTTATCTGAAACTTTGGACGACACGCAACAACATGCGTTCTGTGGTGTAGCATAGATGTGCTTCACTATCGCACGTAGGAGACTCAAGTTCGAAAAGAGAACTTTTATAGAGTATCTTATTCTTTCTGCTACGGTGTAGTATCCCTCTCAGCCCTTAAGGTAGGGTTTCACGCCCGTCTCCAAGAGACATTCTAAATTCTGTCAATGGAGGTGTAAAAACATAATATTATAGATCAACATTAAAAGAAATAAATGCATAGTTCTTGCTTTTTTTATTTGCAGTCATCGGCACGATTGCCACAACCACAGCGTCAACGATACTGTTACCGGACTTCGAGTGCCCGGGAACTGCTGACGTCATCTTCGTCATCGACGAGTCGGAAAGCGTCCAGAGGCCAAATCCGGACGGAATAGGCAACGTTCTTGCCCCAGGGCAGAAAGAGTTGATACGCTTCTATTTGGCAATTTCCGACTTAGGCACTTCTACCATTCAGCTGTCTACGGCCGCTTTCAGCACTGAGGGGAGGATATTGTCGACTTTCTCTGACAATGCGGTAACTGCAGATCTTGAAACTCCTTCTCTGAAAGACTTTGGTGTTATGGTCGTTGATTTTGGGGTTGTTTTGTTGTTGTTGATGATGTTGTTGCTGCTGTTGTTGCTGTTCTAGACATTGTTGTTAAGGCTCGTGTTGTTGTTTTGTGATTGTTGTTGCTCGACGCCCTTTACTTTTTAAAGTAAAGTTGCTAACAAGAAACACCTCCCCCACTTTACTGCCCCATCCCATTTTTCAACACGCACGCATAAACGCACACATCATGACTTAGAGAATCATAACAGAAGAGACTTTTAGATCTAGTTTTTTAAATGTAGACACACAAACACACATATATGCAAACACACAAGCATACACACATACACACA